GTATACTTTTCCTAGCATAGTATTTTCCCTCATGGCAACCAGGAATTTGACTATTATGGTAAGTGGATGTGGTCAGCTCTGACATCTGAACAAATGATTTCTACAAGTTTTGTTTACTAGAATCTTACTTGATTTCAATAAACCCATAAAGTTCAATAGAATTTCTTTTGGTGTCAACGTCTGATGACAAATAAACCATGAGTGTTAGTGATTTTTAAATAGTTTTTAATTCTCTGACATGTTTTTGGTCATATTTGTTACCCACACTTGAAGTTTCCTTACAGTGTTTTTTAGTTTATAATTCCCAAGACAATAATATATATACATTTTTTTTCTTTTCTTTTTTTTTTTTTTTTGTACCAGGGATTGAATTCAGGGGCACCCGATCCACATCCCCAGCCCTATTTTGTATTTTATTAAGAGACAGGGTCTCACTGAGTTGCTTAGCACCTTGCTTTTTGCTGATGCTGGCTTTGAACTCGCAATCCTCCTGCCTCAGCCTCCTGTGCTGCTGGGATTACAGGCATGCACCACCACACCCGGCAATAATATATTTTTATAGCTAGGAAAGTATAGCTAATCTAGTTGTGTATAAAATTAAATTTAAGCAATGCAACAAAATCTCTGTCAAAATTGTCTTTTCACTCAGATCTGATCAGACTATAAGGATTGGAAACCTGAATCATTAGTGCTTTCTCCAGATTTAACTATGAAATCTTTACCAGACTATAACTGTATTAAAAACATTGTCTCTTTTCAACTAACTATAATACGGATTTGCTGAGATATTATGGTATACTATTTAATTTATCTGATGATTTATCATTTTATCATCAAAATTCATATGTACCATTCCATACATCCTGGAAGAATAATTTTTGGCAGCTACATAACCTGTTTTTATTTTTGCCACCTGTTACACAACTAAATAGATAATTATAAGGCACTTACATCGATAGTGGCTGACAACTTAGAAATTATTAATAAATGTATATGATTTTCCTTTGGAAATATTGAGATGCTCTTTGAAAGAATATCATATTTTCCCCAGGTGTGTTTTTATTTTGGAGGTTTTATGCTTTCAAGAATTTTATTATCGGGGCTGGGGATGTGGCTCAAGCGGTAGCGCGCTCGCCTGGCATGCGTACGGCCCGGGTTCGATCCTCAGCACCACATACACACAAAGATGTTGTGTCCGCCGAAAACTAAAAAATAAATATTAAAAAAAAAAAAGAATTTTATTATAAATGACATTGAGTCTGTCATTTTTGTTAAGCCTTGCATATTTTATAAAATCACATCTAAATAATCTTCACTATAAGGTCCTATATCTACTTTTTCCTTTTTAGAATGTAACTCAAATAAAATTTAAAATTTCACTAGAGTCAACATTTTTTTCAGCAGTGTCAGATGTATACCTCCAGTTGCAACAGTTGAACTTGAACATAACTCTATCTATTTCATTCATCTGCTTTCTCCCAATAATAAAAAAAAATCTGTATAAGAAAATGTATACCAGTTCACTTGAAATGGTATAATAGTCACAAACCAGAGGGGGAAATGTAGAATAACTTCTTTTTAAAAAAAATACCCTGACATTTATAAATGACACTCATTTGAGAGTCTTGACAATTTGCTAGTCCAGTCCAGTTGCTCTAGGACTTCACAGCTAACTGCACATTATATAATTAATACAATTAGACTATACAATGTATGCAACCTTTATACAATTGATCAAATTATCTGTCATATACCAAAAAAATAAAAATTGAATGAGATGTCCAGAGCATCATAATTTCTGGGGCCCAATGTAAAATGAAAATGTGAAGCCCTGCCTGAAGGTAGGTAAATCAGTTCCCCTTTCCAAGGGCCCACAGACTTAATCATGGCACACAGGTGAGTCCAGTGAGGGGCAGCAACAGTCATAGGTAGTAGCAGAAATGGGGAGGCCTGGTGACCCAGGGCACTAAGTGGTGGCATAGATTGGGTGGTCAACAGCCTGTCTCTGAGAGGCAAGGAGGCCATGGGAGACAGGACTGTGTTTGAGTGAAAGCTCTAAGACATGCGGAATGCTTTGGCCCATCCCACTTCATTTACCGAATACAAATTCAAAGATAAAATTACAAAGAATTTCAATATGGTGACCACCATTGAACTCTAAGCACAGGGCCCTACTGAGTGGGGGCTCTGTATAACAACACTGGTTGCACCCCATGAAGCCAGCCCTGGGGATATCAGTGTGTGAAAGAACAGAGGTCCCTTCCTGGCCAAGATCTCCCTCGTCCTTGCCTGTCCCCACACAGCCAGGCATAGCTGCAGGATGAAGGATACAATGTACTCTCATATTTTAGTACTTTCTTCTTTCTTTCTGATCATGACCCATGAGTCTCATCTAAAGGCTCATGTCTCTCTAAGGGCCTGTCCTATGAGGTGGATGTGTCAGGAGAGGCAGCCTGGTACGGAGGCAAGAATGTGGATAGGAGCCAGACAACCCTGGCTGTCCTCTCTAACATCCTATGCCTTCAACTCTCCTGGCCTCTGCTTCATTATGATGAAATTCCTCGCTATAATGTTGGTTTCCTCATTATTAATGAAAGGGCTAGGCTAGATGAGCTCTAACATTCCTTCCAGTTCTATTTCTGTGACAGAGAGACAATACAAATAGGTGTTTGGCAAAAGGAGTTTGGCCTCTTGGCTGTTTTACCTCCATTTTTAAAGGACTCATTGTAACCAATGTATTTTGATTCATCAAAGCCATATCTGAGCTGTTGGTTCTGATGTTGCTGCATAGAAGCCAAAAGAAAGGAGGTGTGAGTAATTTGGATGTGTGTAGGCAAAATGGGCCCTCATATCCTTCAGGTCTAGCAGCAGATGCATTAATTCTATCACCTTAGATTATAAAACAACAGTAATTAATACCTGAGCCAGGTCCTTTTATCTAAGGTGCTCAAAGGGCTTTGTGGTCATTAACCCACTAATTCACCTGCCTCAAGCCATCTGGAGGTCAGGAAGAATCTCTTACAATAAAGAGGGATGACCTGACTAACAAGCAGGAAGTGGGTATGAGGTGAAGGGGGTCACCAAAATAGTTCTCTTGGAAGATGGAAAACCCTCCTGTTGGTCTACCGACAGAAATTTAACCACTCACTAGGCTCTTGACATGAATTCTCATGGATGTCACATCTCCTCCTCCTGGAAATCCCTTGACCTTTCATGCAAGCTGTAGACTTACAGCTTCAGACAGACAACAGTGATGCCCAAAGCAAAGAAGGAGAAGCACTCCCATCCCTAAAATTTTCTTCTCTTAAAGAAGTAAAAAAAAAAAGCTTTTTCAAGTTAAGGAGTCTCTAAAGAGAGAAGAGCACTTCAGAATGAGTTGATCACGGTTCTAAGGTCCTGACTTCTTTACAGGTGGTTTCCACTAAAAAGCATCTAATGAAAAACCAAAAGTGCTCAAAAGTATCTTCTGGCAGGTGCTTTTATCATTAGAATCATTTAGTTCACCATTCAGTTAGAATGGTTAGTCACCTAAGAGGTTCTCTGCATGGGGCCAGGTGCTATAGGTGCAAAAAATGTGAAAACTGACCCTCTTCCAAGCAGCTATTAATCTAACCAATTAAAGGAGATTCATACAAATAAAGTAAGTTGCTAAATTTATTATTTATAATTATTCATTTATTTCTACTTGTCATTTCCTAATTAATGTTATTGATAAATTAACAACAGAAAATAGGATTTCTATAATTTTGAATGGTATCGACCCCAAGTCTTGTACAGTCCTGGTGGAAGGTGATCAGTGAGTGCTAGAATGACCAGGGAAGGAAGGAAGAGCCTAGGAGATAAGATGAACTGGACCTTAGAGGTAGGGAAAGCATTTGGATCAGAATCAGGGCCAAAGGGACGAAGACAGCGACATCTAAGTGGAGTTGAGCAGATGGGAGCTTATTTCTTTGGGATGCTTTGGGAAAACCAACCTGGCTAAATCCTCAGGTCTGGAATTCAGAAACAAATATGAAAGGTAGAGCCAGGTCATAAAGTACCTTGAAACCAAACGAAACAAGCACTGACTTGGGGTCTTCAGAGTCGTGTCAAAATGCAGACATTCAGAAAAAGAAGCATGCTTGCTTCTAAATTTAGAAAGGTACACTTGGTACAGGCTAGATACTATACTATGTGCTTTATCATATGTCACCACAGGAAAAAAAGAAATATGTAATTTCAGTATTGGCTGGTGACCTTTAATTGTGAATTCTTTCATCTCAGGACCTAGGAATGTCCCCATGGAGTGAGACCCAGAGCAAGAAAGACTTATGGAGGTGAGGAGGGAAGGATGGAGGGAAATTATAGACAAAGCCTTGAGCAGTATTAGGAATGGCTGGTCCAGGTAAGGGCCCATCCTTGATGGACCTCCACGGCCATAGGAAGGATTTCCAAGAGAGAAAAAGAGAGTAGTATAGGCAAAATAAATTTCCCCTAATTCACAAATTTACCTACCATTAGCCATTTGCGTGCCAGAGGTAGAAAAAGTTACTCTTCCTTCTGGTCCAGTAATAATAATCTTGTTACTGTTGAATGGATGCTCTTTTGCATCTTATGATTAAAATCAAGAGGTAAGGAAATCTCTGGAAATGGCTCTAGAGAATAGGTTAGAAGAAGAATAAAGTCTCCTCGTACGAGGCCAGTTGAGGGCCTCCTGTGGCTTCCTGAATACACTGGAATATATGTGAAGAAGCAGTTTCCTACATTCACACCCCCTTCAGGGAGTGTGGGTCCTCATATAAGTCACCATGTATCAAGACTGCATGGACTCCATGCTGTCTTGAGACCAAGTTGCCCCTGGTCGACAGTAGAATGAAAAATAATTGTTCTCACCAAAGAGATCTGTGTAGAAAAGTTGCTGTGAAACTGGAATAGGTGTGTCTTTCTGTCCTTCCGGTTCTTTTTATAGGCACTGTAGGAACCTGAGTGAGGGCCTACAGTCCTTCCGCCCATTTGGGAAGAGATTAAAGAAGCTGAGGTTGTCTCCTTCTTACTCATTTGCAGTAACAACCTCACCACCACTACAGCCTCAGCTTCCAGAGGGGACACAGAGGAGGTAAGTCGGAATTAAGGGGTCATACCATCTACTATAAACCAGAAGCACTGTGGCCATCTGGTTGGGGAATAACTGAAGAATAGGGCTAGCAATATTTGATTGCAAGGTGTCTTTTGTTTTGTTTTTCCCCCAAATGAATATGAAGGGTTTTTTTCCCCCTAGGTCACCTCAGTCAAGACATGGGCTTTGGAACTAAACTATTCAAAAAATTATTTGAAAGAAGGGACAATTTTGTGTAATTCTTTGATGAACAAATAGCAGGTGTTTAATAATAATCTGGTGCATTGGATTGACTTGAACTGAAAGAACAAACAGTCATTAAAATTACTGAGGGAAATCATCCACCTGTCTCCTTCAAGCAGTGCATCAGTGTTTAGAATAATCCAATGATGCATTAAGCCCATTCTATCCCACCGTTCCAGATGTGGAACACCAATAAAAACTTAAATTGAGCAACAAATATTAACCTATTTTAATGCACCTGTGCTATTGAACTATTTGCACAATTAAAAACTTGGGTCTTAAAAGGGTTTGTGTTGGCAGTCTTTGTTAGGGAACCTGATATAGCTGGAATTCCATCAGTCAGGCAAATTGTCACATACCATATTTCATGAAAAAGACCCCATATTTATGTTCAAAAAGCCTTAGAAATTGTGATGCAAAAATTGATGAATGATCTGGAGCCTCCAAGTGTAGTCTGTTCTGCTTTTCCCAGAGAAGGATGGAGCTAAGATAGTTTTGAGAGGTTTAGATTGGCTTTCTCATCTCCTTTCTTAACATCCTCTAAACAACTGTCACAGCGATAGGGGGTAATATTTGTGACAGCATTTCCCATCCCTATAGACCATATTGGTATGTATCTGATTCATACCAATATGCCCATCCCCATCCACCACCATCCACCGCCAAGGAAGCTTAGCATTTAGAAAAGTATCAGGAATCAAACAAAATATAATTGGAGTCCTCTCCAGTGTCTGCATGACAATTTGGTATAGCCATTTTTTTCATATGCCCGTGCGTCTTCATTTGGAATGTGAGACTCTATGGTGCCCTCTATAGGACCCCCAATGTAAATACATGTGAAATCTTAAGTTTGTCCCATCTTTTTTTTTCCCCCCCTCGCAGGGGACCAGAAGACCATTCTTGTGAGGTCCTCATATAAGTCACCATGTATCAAGACTGCATGGACTCCAGTGGAGACTATTATTTCCTCTGTGACAATGAGGGGCCATGGGGCATTGTTCTGGAGTCCTTGGCAATAATTGGCATAATAGTCACGGTGATTCTACTCTTGGCATTTCTCTTCCTCTTGAGAAAGGTTCGAGACTGCAGCCAGTGGAATGTTCTCCCCACACAGATCCTCTTCCTCCTGGGTGTGCTGGGACTCTTTGGACTTGCTTTCGCCTTCATCATCCAGCTCAATGAAAAAACTGCTCCTGTACGCTTTTTTCTCTTTGGGGTTCTCTTTGCCCTCTGTTTCTCATGCCTCTTGGCTCATGCCTCCAACCTGGTGAAGCTGGTCCGAGGTAGAGTTTCCTTCTGTTGGACAACGATTCTGGGCATTGCTATTGCTCTCAGTCTGTTGCAGGTCATTATTGCCATTGAGTATGTGACTCTCATGACAAGTAGATGCATGATGTTTTTGCACATGACACCCTGTCAGCTCAATGTGGACTTTGTTGTCCTCCTGGTCTATGTCCTCTTCCTGATGGCCCTCACATTTTTTGTCTCCAAAGCCACATTCTGTGGCCCATGTGAGAACTGGAAGCAGCATGGAAAGTTTATCTTCGTCACTATACTCATCTCCACCATTATCTGGGTGGTGTGGATCTCCATGCTGTTGAAAGGCAACCCACAGCTCCAGCGACAGCCCCAGTGGGACGACGCAGTCATCTGCATTGGCCTGGTCACCAATGCGTGGGTTTTCCTGCTGTTGTACATCATACCTGAGCTCTGCATTCTCTGCAGATCCTATAAGCAGGACTGCCCTTCACAAGGCAACGCCTGCGCAGTCCCAGTCTACCAGCGCAACTTCCGAGCGGAGACCCAGGAGCACTCCAGAGGTACTTCCCGCGGTCTTGGGGGCAGGGAGGGTCTTTGGGAGAAATAGGAGAGAAACAGAGCAACAGGAAGAACCCAGAGGGATCCAAAGGGAATGGTTAGCTTTTTGGTGGGTGATTTCGTTGTTCAGATATAGAGATTAAGACTACCAGAATCATGGTTAAATTTTTATGAAAACATCGTTCTTTCAAACTTATAACTTCATGAGGAGAGAAACAAGACCCTAACACATCAAAGGCCCTAAATAATGAAGGTGTCACTCTGAGTGCTCGACCTGGGTAAAGCAAGGCACCCTCTATAAAACGAGTTAACCAGATCCAGATGAGGCTTGGACTATGCAGTCGTATAACATCAAATGCTAAGTCCAGATGTGTTGGCTGTGGAGGACAAAAATCAATCCTGGCAAGAGTGATTTGCATTTTTAAAATTTGAGTCTCAAAGCTAGTTTGCCCAAACATAATCTTAAACTGACTTGTTGGACTTACCACTCATAAAAGTCACAAAACCCTGTAGCTTCTGGATTTCTACTTTTCAAAACATTTGCTGTTTACAGTCTTTCAAGGTTCACAGAAAGCAATAGGAAGAGGCATTTAATCTAAATTCCGAGAAAAGGTTCAGATGTATGATCATTAGTAGACATAAAGCAAGTTGCTTATGCAACATTTTTATAACAATTTTATAGTCATATTTTTATCGTTATGTAATACCAAGACATCTGAATGTTTTGTTAAGGAATAAAATTTATTATCCGTGACAACAAAGATGCTTGGTCCCTAGCAACATGAGGGAAATAGTGGCTAAATTTAATTATCTGGAAATATATCAAAACTCATCAATTCCTTTTCTGAAAGATCTGGCCTATTTTTCATAATCCAATATCATAGTTTTGCATAATTTTGTGTCTTAATAGGCAACTGATTTCTCACATTTTATTTCTAATGTATAATGATGTTATTTTATATACACATATATATAGCATACATAATGTTCTCCAGGCTCAAAAAATCAACATTCGCTTTCCTTTTAAGTGCATATATTTTTTTGAGCTGTAATCTATGGCTAATTGCATATTCAAACTAAATCCTGTTTAGATAAATGCACCCATTAATTCTTTTCTGTTCAATTGACCAAAAGTCGGAAACGGACACTATACATCCTTCCTATAAATTTTTTCACTGCTTGCTGATGATGCATAATCAGATCACTGGGGTTTCTGGCAGAATTGCAGAGCCCAGCTTTCTTGAAAATTCTTTTCATAGTTCTTACCAGAAGATAAAAGTTGTTGTGTTTGCTTTTGTTGTTGCGTGTTTCCAGGAAATGAAAGTTGGAGAGAAAGTTCCTATAGTTTCACAATAACCCAAAACACCCTCTTAATGTTCAATATTCCATCCCCAAAACACTGGGCACATGTTTAAAATGCTCTAAGGAGTGTCTTGGTTGAAGAGTGAGGGCTTGCAAATTTCCTGACACTAACCTATTACCCAACAAAGTTAGAAAACCAGAAAATAGCCTGTCATTATAGTCATTGCCAAAATAGTTTGATATTTGGGTAGGTGCAGGGAGGAGTGCCTATCAATCGTGTAAAATATATATTGCTCTCCACGACTTCAGGGTCACCTGGAAATAAGTGCAAAGATAAAAAATTCAAAGAATAATTAAAACTCAATCAAAAGTGCAGGATTACAGCTGGCTAGGAAATACATACAAACAGACTAATTAAGATCATAGTAACATTAACTTGAAAAATCCTGAGTGTTACCCTGGGTCATGAACCCACATTGAGAAAGCAGCTGTTTCTATTTGCTGAAAACAATCTCAGGTCTATGTAAACAGACATGCAGCTGGCAAGAACAACGTGCCCTCATCCACAGCACTGGTCAGCAAGAATACCCATTTCAGGCCTGGGATCCACTAATGAGAAGTGTGGGGAACTTAGGGAGGCTCTATGGAAAACCACAAGGATGATTAAAGGGTTACAGCAAAAGACTGTGTAGAAGGGTTAAGAGGAGGAAACTGACAGGGCAATGTTGAGCTTGATGTGTTTCTGTCATGGACTACCCAAGTCCCCCACTCCCTTCTGTACTAAAGCACAACATTCTGCTCTTGCCCATGGGGTGTGCAGTTAGTTGTCATTTGACTCTTCTGACTAATGCTGTTTGTAGCTGTGGCTACAGCTGCATAATTATTTGATTTACCTCTGAGTTTATGAGGCCAGGATTATTCAGCTGAAAGAAAAGTAAGTCAAGGGGTGATCAGCAGAGAATTTCCTAAATACGAAGACCCCTCTCCAAGAGACTGTTGTCTGTTGTTTTCCATATTCACTTAAAACGATGGGTGGAAATGGGTTTGAGCAAGATGTGAGGGCCTTAGACTAAATATGAAAATAAGAGATGGTAAATATTTTGCTGAAACACATCAGCAAAGGGGATTAAGGACTCCATTTCCCTGGAAGTCTTTCAAAAGATTAGACTTATCTCTCTGAAGTGGTTTATGGACTTAGATAGAAAAACATCTGGTTGGTGAGTGGCAATGCAATCAGGCATGTCACTACAGAACACCAACAAATGGACCTAAGTATTCTTTGCCCTACATTATAAATGCCTTCCTAAAAACTGCATTGATTGAACTTTTAGATCAGTTGCTCTTCATCAGAGTCTTGAGCCAAAAATATAGATACATCCTTTCACAGCATTTCACAAGCTCAACATATTAGAAACAGGAAGCTTTAACATGAAGATACCTGAGAGTAAGGCAAAGAGTTTGTGTGTGTATAAATGAAGTATTTAAAGTGCAAGATAAAAAATGAATAAGTCATTTCAAAATTATGTTAATGTTTAATTAGGTCATTTATGAACTAACTAAATGCATATGGGAGTATGCACTTTTTTAAACACACCCTTTATTAATTACATTAGTTAATGGATATGTTACTTGTTTTGTACTTGAAGATGGTGAATTTTGGGATAGTTCTGATTCTGAATAAAGCAGAGCTAACCTCCAAAAATAAATGAACAAATTACTTCATTAACTAAATCTGTTGCTCTCCTCACTGAGTTACAAAGATCTTAAATACAGAATATCAAATATTTTATGTGGAAAGAAAGCTCCTTTTCTAATTATTGCCATCTTTTTTTTTTCTGTTTTAGATCAATTAGAATATTGTCATATCAAGCTTGCTAAAAGCAAGACCCATCCATAGTCAACGGAATTACATATGGGCATTTCTTTTTACTTACTTTATTTTTTTATATGATTTATTTATTTATTTATAACAGGGATTGAACCCAGGGTACTCATCCAATGAGCCACATCACCAGCCCTTTTTGTTTTTTTATTTTGCGACAGGATCTAAGTTGCTAGGGCTGGCCTTGAACTTGTGATCCTTCTGCCTCAGCCTCCCAAGACACTGGGATTACAGGTGTGCACCACCACACCTGGCCACATGGGCATTTTACTATGCAGTGTTTGAATGTTTACAGACAAAAATAGTATGGTTCTTTTTGAAGGCACTACAAAAAAAGAAAAAACTAATGAGATTACATAATGTAAAAGTGAGTCAATGAGTATAAAATGAGGTGAACCAAGAAAAAAATTCCTGAAAAACAAAGCCCTTCAGGTTCTTTTTCCTAGAAAATATTGACTTTTGTTGGGTGTAGTCCATTTTGACAGTTCTTAACACTGTGTTCAAGGCACACACACCTTACTAAAAGAGACCCATTAGAATGGTTCCATGTAATACCATTTTTGTTTGTCCTTTGACAGGTATTTCTTTCTCAGGAGTTACAGTGATCTTTAAAAGTTTATTTGTTAGAAGCTAAGAGTAGAGTGGTCCAAAGGTGGAGAGAGAGAGAGGCACAGGTGGACGGAGGCTGACCAGTGCCATCTAAGCTACAGTTAGACAGGAGCAAAGAGCTCCAGTGTGCTGTGGCATGTTGAGGGGCGCTGCACACTGTACATTCTTTTAAAACATTAGAAGGAGCCAGGCATGGTGGCACATGCCTGTAATCCCAGTGGCTTCAGGGGCTTAGGCAGGAGGATCAAGAGTTCAAAGACAGCCTTGGCAACTTAGCAAGGCCCTAAGCAACTGAGACCCTGTCTCTAAATAAAATACAAAAGGGGCTGGGGATGTGGCTCAGTGGTTAAGCACCCCTGGGTTCAATCCCCAGTTGAAAGGAAGAAAGGAGGGAGGGAGGGAGGGAGGAAGGAAGGAAGGAAGGAAGGAAGGAAGGAAGGAAGGAAGGAAGGAAGGAAGGAAGGCACTAGAAGAGAGGACTTAAATATTTTCACATAAAAAAAAGGAGACACATCTTTCCCTGGATTTGAACACTATGCCTTGTGGGCAATGCAAAGGATCACATGGCATCCACAATATGTACAAGTCTCGCATGTCAATAAAATAAATTTTAAAAAAGAGTTGAAGGTTGCAGAGAGAGAACTAGCTTACATCAGGGAAGAAGACAGTGGGTCATGGACAGGTAAGGTGAGGATGATGACATTCCTAATACCTGAGCAGCAGAGGGCAGCAGAAAGAGCTCAGAGTCAGACCTCACACACCCTGGCTTCCAGACTCAGCTCTGCCTCTTACCACCTTTGAGATCATACAAGGTCCTTAGCCTCTAGGAGACCCAGGCTCTGTTTTTTTGTTTGTTTGTTTGTATTTTGTTTTAATGGTAGTTATAATGTCCCTTCCTGCCTCCCCCACATGTAAATGTCAGGTCTTACTGAACTCATGTTTGCCACCATGAGGAAGTTGTAGGTTTGATATAAATACTCAGCCTTTCGGTCAATTCCTGAACAATAACTGGCTGAAAAAATTAGGCTTTTCTAATTTATGGTCTAGTCTGATGAGAATGTCGGGTTAAATTTGGTTACCAAGGGAGTGAGTTTGAAGGAGTATTATTATGCCACAAGGAACAAAGTTAAACCAAGGATCCAGTTTGTTCTGCATTGGAGGAAACATGAGTATTTCATCCTTCACAGCACCCAGTCCTCCAAAAACTATGTTAATAGAAGAAGGTCGTCAGAGCGTCAGCCATAACTATAGCAGCAACACCAGTAATATCCAAAGGACGGTTCAGACAGGGATTTCTTTGTATCATGCTCTGATCCAAGGGTTTTATATATATATATATATATATATATATATATATATATATATATATATTAATTGATGGAATCCTCAAAACAACCCTATGATTTACCATTATGATTATCATTTTTTTTCCAGTGAAAGGTTAAAGAAACTTATCCCTAGGTGACAGAGGTGAGGGACTGTTCCAGAATCCATCTACTCAGCACGACAGCTCCTGAGTGTGGTCACAATGACACAGTCACGTGTGTGACCATCAAGGCACAAATGTGGTGCTGGGGCTGTAACTCAGTGACAGAGTGCTTGCCCAGCATGTGTGAGGCACTGGGTTCAAGCCTTAGCACCACATAAAAATAAAATAATAAAATAAGGGCATGCTGTCCATCTATAACTACAAGAAAACAATTTTAAAGGAAAAAAAAAATGTGTATGGAGTAAGTTCCTGGCTTGGAGAAACACAGGTTTATCTTCACAGAGCTTACAGTCTGGTTGAGACTGACATTAAGCAAATAAGTGTGTGCGTGTAGTTATTCTGTGACAGTATGGAATTGTCTTTAGGGATCTTTTTTTATGATGTCCAGCTTTGAGAAATGAATCTAAGCTGCAAGCGAATAAACCCTAAAGATACTATTGCAAGAGTGAGATGCCCATGGTTATGCAGTTAATGCTAAGTGAGCAAACACTCTCACCCAGGGCTAGTGCTTTCTCTAGAAAGTGAGAGAATTCTTCAGCCCTTCAGTTTCTAAACTCTGATGTGCTTCTCCTGAACACATGTACGCTATCCGTATACAGCCTTCCTCATAAACTTCTAAAGCATCCTTTTAAATCATCAAATTTTTCCAATATCAGCCTCAGTGGAGTATTCCTTTTAAAGGGTCAGGAACCCCTTTGCAGGGCTTCTCACAGCTCACGTGCTATTTCCACACGAATCCCTGACACTAACCCAGCCCTTCCCTCGTTTGGCTTTCAGCCCGAGACAGTGACGGAGCTGAGGAGGATATAGCATTAACTTCATGTGGTACTCCCATCCCGAGGCAGGTAAATGTGCTCGTCTCACTCACCTAGAGGGACACAATAAGCACTCCTTCCTTAGGAGAGCCTTCAGACCTCACCTCCAGTGGCTGTGCCCTGAGAGAGGAAAGGCAGAGCAGGATCATCCCCAAAGGTACATGGAGCTAGAGCCATCTGGATTCAAGGGTGGCACGAGAGAGGCAAGGTACCCTTTTAACCCATTCCCAAGCCTCTGCAAGCCTCCACCACAGCCATCAAGAGACATGGTATATTCTGAGGCAGGGGGATGTCCCTGGAAAGAACAGGGGACTTAAAGGGCTTGTATGAGGATGAAGAGGAGCAGGTTGACTGAGTTTGATGTTGGGGTCAGTAGAGGATTGTAAATATGCATGAGTGTCGGGTCCGTTTTTAGTACCAGTTGTCTAAATCTATCCCCTGAGTCCCACCAACTGCCTCTCTGAATCACCGTCTAGCTCTGGCAGCCCAGGCTGCCCCCCAAGAACTGGGCTAGGTCTGTCACCATCATCTGGATGGCCAGATGGATGAACCAATTTTAATCCTTTCAGGCGAAAACAGAGGGAGCATTACTGAGTGGATTGGATGTAACTCAGATTTGTGCTGTGATCGCTCGAAGACATTCAAAGGCAGACAGCCAAAAATACTGCACTGGCACACAATTCTTGCATTATGGGGATCAGAGGCAACAGAAATCCAAGAGTGAAAGTCATGCTTGTTCAGTGAACTTGACCAGGCAACCAGCTAAGCTAATCCCTCTGGTCTGTTATCTGAGGCTTTGCCGTTTCCTGCAAGGACGCGTGGAGCAGGACGCGGCTATCTATCATTTGCTGTAATTAACCCTCAGGAGGGCATTTACACAATGAGAAAATCTTTATTATCCCCTGTAAGAGTTTCTTGGATGAGTTTCAATTTCCAGCAATCAGCTATTCAAGAATCTTACAAAAAGATTCTTATTAATGGCTGCGAGGGTAGCCTGATACAAGTAGGCTCAGTATTTATTTCTCCCTCTTTTTTATTAACAAAGAATTAAGTGATGGTGAGATGATAATATTTCAGGCATCATTCACATTTTCATCCCCTATTTGGCTCAGAAAGTTGACGATGGCGTTTCTTCCTTTCCAGACTGTTGATCTCACACAGGAGTATTTAATCCCACGGGCTACTCTAAGCCCCCAGCAAGATGCAGGATTATAAAGTCTACAGGAAACATGAGCAGTGAAAACCCAGGAGGCAGTCCTGGTTAACGTAGCCCTGGCTGCGCACTGGAGAGATCAACGAGTTGTGCTGCCCACCGAGGCCCGTCCTTCCTTCTCTGTTTCCTTGACCTTTACATCCATCGGGACCCTTCATCAGAAGACTGCCCTTTCAAGCAAAATTACAATCTTGCTGGCCACTGTACCTCAGCTGTTTGTCTCTTTCTTCATTCGTGAAACTGAAAACATCCATTTCTTAGCAATGCTGGAAAGAAGTGGTGCCTTGTTAATGGTCTAAAGAAATTAGGGCCATTCTAATGCAACAAAGTATAGGTGTTAATGGCAACCAACTGCTGGATTAGTCCTCTAGTTGATCATTTTTAATCATGCTAAGAAACACATGACAAAATTTACCATCTTAACCACATTTAGATGTTCAGTTCAGTAGCATTAACTACATTCACATTGTCGTATAAAAGGTCTCTAGAATTTTTTTCATTTAGCAAAATTGAAATCTTATAGCCCCAGGCCCTGGCCACCACCATCTGCTTTCTGTTTCTATGAGTTTGATTTAGATGTCTCACATAATAGAATCATCTAGTATTTGTCTTTTTAAAAAATTTTTCTGCTTTCTCTTTACGAAAGTTTACGTATTTCTTATAGAAAATACAGGTAAGTTAAAAAATGCAATTCATACTCCTCTGTGTCAAAAGTAAACATTAACATTTGTAAGAATTTCTTACTAACAACTGATGATTATTCTACTACTCTAATCTAAAAATTATTCAACTCAGAAATTAGCATTGCTGTTAAAAAGTTCAGGCAGTGAAATCAGATTGGTTAGTTCCAAATCCTGACTTCACTTTGGGCAAGCAACTAGTTTCCTTGCTGTCTCATTTTCCCACAGTTTCTAAGGTTTCAACCCACGGTCAGCCAGCTTCTTTACTCTGGGCCTGGAAGTGAGGCACAGCATCATGGCAAAAGATTGTGGCAGAACAAAGCAGCTCAGGGGCTGGGACTGTAGCTCAGTGGTAGAGCACTTGCCTTGAATATGTGAGGTACTGGGTTTGATCCTCAGCACCACATAAAAATAAACAAATAAATAAAGATATTTAAAGAAATAAAAGAAAAGAAAGAAAGAAAGCATCTCAGAACATGGCAGCCAGGAAGCAGAGAGAGAGGGGGAAAGGGTTCACAGGGAAGATCAGTATTTGTCTTTTGTGACTGGTTTATTTCACTTACCATGATTTCCTTAAAGTTCATCAATGACATAGTATGTAACAGGATTTCCTTCTTTTTTAAGGTTACATAGTATTCCACTGTATGGGTATACCACATTTTCTTTATTTTTATGTTGATGGATATTGAGTTGCTTCCACCCTCATGGCTACTTTGAATAATGTTGCAGTGAACATGAGTGTTCAAATATCTCTTTGAAATCCCCTTTTCAATTTTTTTTTTGGATATATGCTCAGAAATTGGATTGCCACATCATATGGTAATTTTATTTTTAATTTTTTGAGGAATCTTCAAACTGTTTATCTTTGTGACTACACCATTGTATATTCCCACCAATAGTGAACAGTGTTCCAATCTCTCCACATCCTCACCTGCATTCTTTATTTCCTGGGTGTTTTTGTTTCTGTTTCTATAGTGGCCATCCTAATGAGTTTGAGGCATTTAGTCATTTTTCATAAAGAAACCCCAAAGGGTTGAGGGGTATAGCTCAGTGGTAGACCACTAGTCTAGCATGCACTAGGCCCTGAGTTGGAACCCTAGCACTACCAAAAATAAAGAGAAACACAAAATATGATTGACTTGGAATTTTCTATAAAAGTGATAGCAGAATCCCCACCTGGACAATGTGAATAACATAGACATTACCATGGACAGTAGGTTGATAGGCTTCTCCCATGGAGCTACCACCCTGAAACAGCTAATATGGCAGCAGACAGTGACCTGCTTTGATGAACCAGTAATAGCAAAGGTAAAGCCACTCCATGTGAAGCTCGTAAAGGATGTTAAGTGGTGAACATAAAAAGCCAAGTCTGCCTGTCTTGATGTTTCTAATGAGCTGGTGCCTCCGTGCTAATTGTCTAGCCTTCATTCCTCACGCAGCCCCACATCCTTCCCAGGTTTCATCTGACCTTAAGTTCTCATTTGTTATTTATATCAGGACCAAAGTCAGAGGTGCACCTCCAGAAAGGTTCTTGGGGGTCCAATTTAGCCTTCTTATTTTTCATAGAAGACAGAACCTTGGAAAAATGGAATGACTTACCAAAGCCACACAGCAATTAGTGGTGGGCCAGGTTTTCTGACCCCCCTCCCCCAGGCCAGTCTTCATCTCCCTCTGTGAGGCTTCTCTGCTCCTACATTTCTGTATTAGCAATTTAGGTATGCCCCCCTTGGGAACCAAAGGAGATAGTGATTGTTGAGTGCCTGCTGTGTGAAGGCATTGTGAAAAATAACTAAGGCTCCATATGTGTAACAGCCTTTTTAAAGAACAGTAGACGGCAGGGATTATTCAATAGCAACAAATATTTCCTGAGCATGGGCAAGGTTCCAGGAGTCACTGTAGGACTCATCCCTAGACAAGGCAGACAGCACTGCCTTGGCCAAGCTCTTGCGTCTGTGTCAGAGATAACACAATGGAGACGCTTTCAGGAACACAGCTTCCTTGTCTTACAGATGCAGAAAAGGGATAATATGTCTTCTTAGTCGCCAAACAAAGCCAGAATCCACATTCTCAGTTCTATTCAAATGCTCATCCTCTACACAACAGAACAACATTGTCATACATTTTTCTGCTACATTGACATTAGCTGCTCTTAAAAAAAAAAAAAAAAAATGTGCCCTAAGTAATGATACCAGCACAATCCCAGGACCTAGGCAAATGACCAAAGCACTTGACCCTCAGCCTTTATAGGTAATGAAAAATTGAAAGAAAATTTTCAGCATTAATCCATTATGTTCCATCATCCCATTTATGGAACATCTGAAAACTTACATTAAGCAACACATATATCATTGATGATGATTTTGAGATAAATGTTTTTAGAGTTCTAGTCTTTCAAGAAGAGTAATGCCTAGTAACAATATTCATTAATATCATTTATATTAGTGATAATAAATTATGTAAGCTCTAGGTTCTAATTTCTATTTGAATACACCTGTGTCGATTTTACTGCAATATTAACAGAACTGAAATCCTGGGGTTTCATGGGTTAAGTAAAACCCTGACCTGTATAAATTAAGTGGTCTTAATCAGCCAATTTAGAAACAAACCATACAACCTTATGTCTGCTCTTGGATAAAACCAGTATCATCAGTCCTCTTGAGTTTTATTCCAATAATTATGACAATGATTCCTTCAGCAAATTTTGTTTTTCAAGCAGGAGATGTTTCTGTGCAGTTGGCTGACAGAGTTTTAAAACCTACTGAAGCATATCCAATGGCCTAATATCATCTCTCAAAATGTTTTTTCCAGATTAGTGAAGCTAAAATTGAACCAAATTGCCTCTGAAGTTTACAGCACAGTTTTACCTAATTTTTGACGATGTATTGATTAGATCTGGGATATTGTAGTTTGCAAGTGTCTCATTCAGACTGTTTCACAAATGGTGCTTTATTGTAAGGTTACCTACAGGGAGGAGAAAAACTCTTAGGGCATTCAGTTCCGCCACTCAACTGGCCTAGCAGAGATGAATACTGTGGGGCACTAGGAGGAACTTGCTGTCCCCCTCCCCTTCCCCACAGGCCCCCTCAGCCACTTGGACATGCTCCTTACTGTCTCTGCTTTCCTCTGTGGGTGTTTTCACTCACTACCCACAGACTGATTCTCTCCCTAGATGTCAGATTCCTGAGAGGGACTTGGATTGGTCCAACTGATCACTGTCCCTGATTGGGACCTCCTGTGCATCTTCCCATTTAACTGACAACCAGCCTATGGACTGCCTGATCTGGCACCCACCATTAGTACATTCATCTGTGTCTGGCTTGGTCCCGTGAACCTGCAGACTTGGTCATGTATGTCTGCTTTCTGTGGGAAGCGCTGGGCAGTCAAATATCCTCTGGGCAGTGGGGAAAAGCACAGCATGCACTTTGACCAAAACAAGGAGAGACTAATCCAGGAAAATATGATTTTATGAAATTATAGAATATTTTAATGAAAATACTATTTAATTTCTTTTGAGTTTTAGCAGCAATTCACATAAAGCTATGAATCTCAGTTCCTTTAAGTATTTTTTAAGCTGTCAATGGATCTTTTATTTTATTTATTTATATGCAGTGCTGAGCATCAAACCCAGAGCCTCACACATGCCAGGCAAGTTCACTGCTCCTGAGCCACAATTCCAGCCCCTTGCAGTTCCTTTAAATGGAGATCTATGAGGAATTTGCTTTAGAAAAAATAGATAAAACTATTTATGAATGACATTTGTACCAAATTCAATAAATATTATTTGAAAAACTAAAGTCATTTCTTACATGTAATGAGTTACATAATTCAAAAGGTGTTTATTCTCTTACACATATTAAATAGCTCCTTTCTGATTTTACTTATTTTATAAAAAAAAAAGGTATCAATGAGAAACTTCATTTTTAAATATCAGCCTGATATAATACAGCCAGTTAGCTCAGGTAGTTAGAACTTGGTTCTAATAAAATAACTGCCCAGGTATAGTTAGTATTTCCTTCACTCTTTTTTTTTTTTTTTTCCTGATTTGAAAAACATCAAGATTTGCTTCCCTCCACATTAAATTTCATGATCTCCCCTTAAGCTTACAGGACTTTCTAATTATGCTTCATTTCAACCTATGTTTGGGTCAAGCTAAAATTTTTTCATTCTGTCTATTCATTATTCCTTTTGTCTTGCTAAAATTTCCCTTTTTCTAGAGTAATACATAATCACTTTTTTTTTTTTTGTACCAGGAATTGAACCCAGGGCACTTAACCACTGAGCCACATCCCCAGCTCGTTCTTGTATTTTATTTAGAGATAGGATCTCACTAAATTGCTTAGGGACTTGCTAGATTGTGGAGACTGGCTGTGATCTCATGATCCTCCTGCCTCAGTCTCCCAGCCACTAGGATTAAGGCATGCACCACCACACTCGGCTGAGTAATACCTATTTTATATTGGCCAAA